AGCCATTCTTAGCACCATTCAAAAACTCGTCAGAGACAAGCGAAACCGATTCTTTGACCAAACGTGTGCTAAACAGTTGCGGTATCTCCCCTGCTGCCCTGGGCTATTCACATTTCCCATAACCTCCTATCACGCTTTCCCTTTTTCAATTTCTACCGTGCCTATTTCGATGTTGTGTCGTGTGCTCATTTGAGCGGCTTTTATGAAAACAATTCACACTCCACGCTGTCGTTCTCATCCCCTTCACCCTTGGGCTGGGAATGTTGATCAGAGTCTGCCATATTGTTACACAGTCCTCCTTCCCTAGGTCTTTTCACAGGCTCTCTCTTGCCCCGTAAGATCCGTCTACTCTCTCCCTGATTCACATATTTCACTCAACCCCTGCCACCCCATCTGTGTTGCTTCGAGGCTCAAGCCTCTGAGTAAGTCTAGTGGTCACGCATTTTCTACATGGACCACGTTTAAGGTAAAAACAGACCTACTGTCAGCCAACTAGCTCCAGTTTCCGCCGCGTCTATCCTGTTTCTATCTCTAATACCAAGTCGATGACTTCCCATGTCCTAGTCTCTTGTGTGCCGACCCACAAATGTTATGGTACTGCTTGCTTTGATTCGGTTCAATATTGAACGACAACGTTTGTAGGTTGGCACACAAGAGACTAGGCTTGGTATTATGGATAGAAAGAGGATAGAAACAGTGGAAGCTAGAGCTGGTTGGCTAACAATAGTCGTGATTCAAGGATTACGTTTAAGATCAAACACGTCTATTGTTAGCAAAACAGCTTTAGTCTCCACCTCGTCTGTCCTGTTTCTATCTATAATACCATGACTATCATTTCTTATGTCTTCGTTTCTTGTGTGCCAACCCAAAAATGTCGTGGTTCTACTTGTTTTGCTAAGGCTCACTGAAGACGTCACCTCTTTGCTTCTGGTTGTTGCTTTCTCATTCCCCTGCGATCTCCTTTCATAAAATTAAGGATAGTACCTTGATCCAGTCGTCTTCTTTTTTTTACTGATCTTACTGTTGCCTGGTATTCGATGAGTTTTTTAGGCAATATGCAAAGTTTTCGCTAATCCTGTCTTCTTCAAGTCTCCAGTTCATTAGATCTCTCTCGGTCAGTATATCGATGGCCTCTCGGATTTTGCGTTTTCTTGTATCTTCACCACATGCAGCCAACCATTCGGTCGATTTACAGTCGATTTCGTACCCTGTTCGTGCAATGTGTTCCACTATTTCATATCTTTTCGTATACATGTTCCTGTAGAGTCTTTGATGTTCCTTCATTTGTTGGTCGATTTTTCTTTCTGTTTCACCGATATACTTCTGCTCACATTTGCCGCATTTGATGCGAGCATTCAAGTTTGTCAGTCTTCTCGTGTTGTGTCCGCAGACAAGTGAAAAGTGATTTCTTCTCCTTTACTATCACCCTGATGTTCCATTTCATTAGTAACGGTCGCAATTGTTGGCTCAGCTGTGATGAGGGCAGGCTAATCCACTTTTGGTTGTCATCCTGATTCCTGATCTGATTTTCATAAAATCCAAGTAGAATTTGGCCCTTTATAATCTCCACATGTTTTTCTATAAATGTTCTGGGGTATCCGTTACTAAGGCAAATCCGTATCAGTTTGTCAAAATCCTCGTCCCAGAACTCTTTGTCCGTTAGTCGTAAGCTTCTGATGATCAAACTCCTCAGTATTCCGATCTTTAGTCTGTAGTTATCATCAGACTGAAAATTAAGGATTATTCCCGCATATGAATTCTTTCTGTATAGTCTCCTCATGAGTGTCCCTTTGCAGCGCATGGCTGTAATATCCAGAAAGCGTAGTCGTTTATCCTCCTCCACCACCATTGTGAATTTAATTCTTTCATAAAGTTGGTTAATGAAGTTGAGAAATTCATTTAGATTTTCCTTACAATTTGACCAAAGTGCGGTGACTTCTAGAATTCACTTTCCAACTTGTCCATGTACACATTTGCCAAAAGAGGTGAGAGT